ATTTTGAAATCAGTAATATTGAAACAATATGGCTAGAGATAAATCTAAAAAATTCAAAACCTATATTTTATTGTTCTGCTTATCGCCCACCATCTGCCCCCTACTGCTGGGCGGAGGACCTAGCAAGGGAGGTGAACCGTGCCTCCTGCTGTGACGATACTGAAATTATTCTATCAGGTGATTTTTCATATTGATCTAATGAAAGACCCCCCACAATATTGGACATCTGCTTTAGAGGAGTTTGGACTTTCTCAGATAGTTACTGTTCCTACTAGAATAACAAGTACCTCAAGTACCTTAATTGATGATTTTTATACAACTAAACCAGAAAACATATGTGAAACAAATGTGCCCCCCTATTGCTATTTCTGACCACTACCCTGTATGTTTGACACGGAAAACTAATTGTTTACAGCGTAGAGGAAAACATACTGAAATCCAATATAGAGATTTTAAACAATTTAACGAAAACGACTTTTTGAGAGAGTTAGAAAATGCAAATTTTAACACTCTTCTTAAACTTAAAGACCCAAATGAAATAATGAATAAATTTTATGAATTGTTTAATGATATTCTTAACAGGCATGCCAAAGTAAAAACAAAAAGAGTCAAGACTGAAATTCGACCTAAATGGCTAAACACAGGAAATAAATGATGCCAGACATTTACGCGATATATATCATTTACAAAGGAATTCAGAAAATTACAAAATTTGGAGAAATAAAGTTACACAATTAATAGATCAAGCAAAATCAAAGTATTACAAATCTGCAATTGAAGAAAGCTCAAGTCCTAAAGAAATGTGGAGTTATTTAAACCATTTGGCATCTAAATCCAAAACTTTTACACCTAGCCGTATTACACAAAATGGTTTAGATTTTGAAGATCTACAGGATATTGTTGATATTTTTAACAAACACTTTACGGAAATATCCTGTAAATTATTAGCAGATATGTCAGTACAAAGTTTTGATTCAGAATTATTAAATCGGTATACAGAAACTAAACTAGGGAAAGAAAATGTTTTCAGTATTAATGAAATAACTGAATTTGAAGTATTGAATATGTTGAATACACTTGATGTAAATAAGTCAGCTGGTATAGACTTTATCGGACCTCGTCTTCTAAAACTTTCGGCAAATGTCATATGCAAATCTATTACACATCTTATAAATGCTAGTATCACTAATGGAATATTTCCATCCAGTTTAAAACAAGCAAAAGTCACTCCTATTTTCAAAAATGGCGACCACGCAGATCCAGGGAACTACAGACCGATATCCATTCTTCCAACATTATCAAAATTAGTTGAAAAACACATAGCAAATCAAATACGTAACTTTGCCTCTAACTTTGATCTTTTATTTAAATCGCAATCTGGATTTCGAGAATTTCATTCATGTCAAACGGCTCTTACCAAACTTACAGATAATTGGCTACAAGCTATGGACCTAGGAAATCTAGTAGGCATAACTTTCATTGATTTTAGCAAGGCATTTGATTTGGTTAATCATGAAATTCTTATAAGTAAACTTCAATCATATCACTTTGATCAAAGGGCTATTAAATGGTTTCATTCTTATTTAACCTCAAGGTCTCAGTGTGTAAAAATAGGAACATATTCCTCTGATTTTTTGCCCGTCACAGCAGGAGTGCCCCAAGGTTCTATCTTAGGTCCCCTATTATTTTTATTGTATATAAATGATCTCCCTTTACATGTAAATAGAACAGATATTGATATGTTTGCCGATGATGCAACCTTGCATACATATCATAAAAATATAGAAGGTACTGAGAATGCCCTTAACTTTGATTGTCTGAGATTGAAAATTGGTGTTCCAAAAATCAAATGGTGTTAAATACCAATAAGACAAAATGTATGCTTATGGGAACTCAGCAGAGAAAATCAAGAATAGATTCACCTGAACTAAATTTATATGCTTCAAACAAATTAATTGAAAATGTTGAATCTGAAAAACTTCTGGGAGTGCATATTGATGGTTCATTGCGCTATAATCACCATATTGACTCATTTGTAAATCTTTGACATATAAATTATATACGTTGCGCAAAATTAAAAAATTCCTTCCCTTACACACAAGAAAACTATTCTATAATGCATACATTCTGCCTTCTTTGAACTATTGCCTAACTATTTGGGGTAATGCGCCAGGTGCTGGCATAGATAGAGTTTTTAAATTGCAAAAAAGGGCAGCCCGTATTATACTAGATGTGGCTTATGATGCCCCTTCACTGCCATTATTCGAAAAACTTGGATGGCTGACTATTTACGAGTTGATTGATTTTCATAAATATATATTACTGTACAAAACACTTCATGGTATGGCACCTACTTATTTAAGAGACTCTTTTGAATTTATTTCTTCTAGTAGTTATGCTCTACGATCTGAAACAAACTATGACCTTCATCTACCGAAATATCGAACAAATCAATTTAAAAATTCTTTTCGTTATTCCGGTGTTCATTTATGGAACAAATTACCTTTGTATATACGTTTTTCACAGAATTTACACACATTTCGTAAAAATGTAGAAAAATTCATAATAACATGCCGCAACTAAAATCTCCTGAATTCTATATGTACTTGTATTTTTACGTCATGTTGTATTATTTATTATTGTAAAATGATTTCATTATTGTATTATTGTGAACATGCTTAGAGGGCCCCGAGGAAGACTAGTGCATTGCACTAATCGGGTCACCCTCTTAAAATAAAGTATTATTATTATTATTATTATTATTATTAACTTGTGTGCGTAGACTATCTTAAACTAGAGAAATCAAAAGGAGGATACGAAAACATTCTAGTCATCACTGATCATTTTACGCGATTTGCACAGGCTGTACCTACAAAGAACCAAACTGCCAAAACCACAGCTGAGGCATTATACCATCATTTTATTGTCCATTATGGCATACCATCAAGACTACTCAGTGATCAGGGAGCAAATTTTGAGTCAAAGATTATACGGGAACTCTGTACCATTCTAGGAGTTGACAAGTCGAGAACAACACCTTACCATCCCATGGGCAACGGCTTAACTGAACGTTTCAACAGAACTCTTTTAAAAATGTTAGGAACACTCGAAAATTATCAAAAACAAGATTGGAAATCTCATATTTCAACTTTAGTTCATGCTTACAATTCAATGAAACAAGAAACTACAGGACAATCACCTTTCTTTCTCATGTTTGGAAGAGAACCAAGACTTTCGGTAGACCTCATTTTTAAAACAGCTGAACCAAATCAACATGAAAACCTTAACTCATACATCAGGTCTTTGAAATCAAAATTGGAACATTCATATCATTTGGCACAGAAATCTATTCAGAATGCCCAGGGAAGACAGAAGAAGAATTATGACATCAAGGCAAGAGATGCTGTTATTCAGCCTGGAGATAAAGTATTAGTAAAGATCGTTGCATTTGAAGGCACACACAAGTTATCGGATAAATGGGAGGAAGACCCATATATTGTAGAAAGTCAACCGAACAAGGATGTTCCTGTGTATATCGTGCGAAAGAAAACAACAATACATTTAAGAGAACTTTACATCGGAACCTTTTACTACCAATCGGCCACTTAGATGTTGATTTACAGACAGAAAGGCCTAAGCCAGCACCTAGGAAAAGGATAAAGCCTAGAGTCACAAGGAGAACCAAGAAACTGACTATCTCACATAAGGATAACAGTGACTCAGAGAGCAGCGATGAGGAAATTCTAATACAGGAGGCCGCTTCCACTGCAAATAGCAGTGATAGTACACCTGCTCTTGAGATAGAAAGTAACTCACAAGAAAATGTTTTGGCCAATGAAGAAGAGAGAGCTGAAGATGAGGGTAATGCCGGTATACCTTGGCTACTTGTTGATCATGTTGATGACACAGGTACTTCAGCAACTATAGAAGACACTGATGTGAAGGAAATAGAACCGTCTGAAGATACACAGCAGCAAGCCGAAGCTGATGATGTTGATTTGGATGATACCAATTCTGAGGAACACTCAGCCCATGAACAGCAGACTTTACCTAGACGATCTCAGAGGACGAAGAAAACAACATCTTAGATAACCAGTGGAGACTATATAGTAAATCAACAGGTAGCAACACAACAGCCAGACTGGAAGACAAGAGCAGACTATTTACAGACTTTAGCTTCCAGTAATGTTTTTCATTCCAGCAACAGCAAAGAACTAGTGGAAAAGGCTCTGATAGACATTATTACAGGTAAAGAATTAGTTAGACAAGTAAAGAAAGTCAGTTAAGTCAGTCAGTTGAGACAGTTCGGTAAGTGTATATAGTTCTTAGTGATATTCTATGTTTTTATGATTTTATTTTATTTTACAATCGTTATTTTTGTATGAAATAGTAAATGACGAGGACGTCATTTCACGAAGAGGGGAAGTATGTGATAGGGTGATTTATATCTTATATTAATTATTATATTTCAGGATTAAATTAATTCAGTTGAATTATCATGTTTATTTCTTTTCAGCATTTCATTTATTGAATAAATCCACATGGAATTATTTACATCAATCTGTGTTCATTGACTTATTTTAAACCCCTGTCCCTTTTCTATTTATATCTTGTGTAGTGTCAGGGCCAACTTGGATTTCATTGGTTGGTTAGTTTCCCTCTCTATTGGTTTTAACTTAGTTAATTACTTTTGTTGGAGATCTTGGTCTGACCAGCAGACATATTGGTGTTTGATTTATTTTGTTTGTCTATATTGACTTAATTACGACCATGACCAAGACTGGACAGAATGTAAGTTGACTTTTACTAATTTCATTATCTCTAAATAATTGTTTATCTATTTAATTCCTAAATATTAATATTCTAATATAAATTAGGAAGATTCAGTATTTGTGATTATTTTATGACTTTGTAAGTAATGAAAAGTAATGATTTCATATATCAGTGTATTGTATATTTTTGAGAGCAATACAGTAAAGTTGTGTTTTAATTATGTGCAGATCACTGAGTAAGATTTCACTCATCATATTGTATATTTGGAGAATGGCTTTATATCACATATAGGTATGATGTATATATATTTTGAATATTGTCCATATAATTATATAATTATGGAAGAGTTCGATATAATTTGATCTTATTGTTTCATCTATAAATTCCAGTGTTTATACTTTGTACATATTATTGATTAAGAAAGACAACTCTTAATGTTTTATGAATGAGCACAATTAAAGGGCAATAACTCTTATTTTGACCGTGCTATCTGGCAAGTGATCTACATGTATGTATTGTTACAAAATATTTAATATATTGTTTATATCTTTCAGAGCTGTGATAATACTCATTGAATATACACTTATCCATATCTACAACATGGCGTTTGTCATTATTTACGTATAAAACGAACCCCATTTCAGTTACATTTTGCGTTATTATATTTTTGCACTGTAGACAACGCAAAATGTAATGAACAATATGTAATAAAACAAAACAAATTTTTTTTGACTGCGTTTAACAAATAAGATCATAAAATTAATCCAAATAAATACATGTAACCAACATGGGAAACACGCTGTTAAAATATTTAGAACTAAAACAATGAGACCAACTACATGTATAGGGCTTTTACGGATATAAATACATCTAAATGTATCGTTTTTCTGACTCTGATTTAGTTTTATTGAATGCACTGTATTTAATTACATGTATATAGAGTAAATTAACTTTGATTCGCATATTTTTGATAGTCTTATTAAAATTCTAACCAAAAACACATAGTTAACCGAAGATTGACCATAGGTTCATTAAAAGATCTTGATACGCATATTCAGCATGTATACATCGGTAAACAAATTGGAAGTGTATATGTGTTTTGAGCGAGGAGGGGCAGGGATAGGGTGGAATGTTTACTTCGTATGTTTATTATTGCATTATTGTGGTCATGCAGAAACAATCCATTTTATTATAGGATCGAAAGAAAGAGAGAGGTAGAATTTTGTTTTTGCTTGTCTGACAGTATGGTATCATTTTTGTCAATAAACATCTTCCCGCTATGCATTTTCACCTGCCAGTACAAATGAATATTTTTTTTAATGAATTCATTGTATTTGTCTATAAAGAAAGCAAAAGCACACTTTCCAATACCCAACAACCCCGCCGACAGACGCACGATTTTAATTTGCAACACCTAAAATTTAAATACATTTATTAAACTGATTTTGAACATTTGTAGCTAATTCAATAATTTGATAAATTATAAAATTTATTAATTGTAAGAAATTGTGTATATCTATTGTAACGTTTCCGAGCGGTCTAAGTTAATTCCTTCTATTGTAAAAAAAAATCCAATGGCAATATAATAATCCTTGGGTATAAAATCATATAGGTTTTTCCTCGTAATAAAACTCAATAACTGATTACAAATGTTTATTAAATCCAAAGTAAAATAGAATATAATCCAAAGAAATTAAAACAAAATAAATCCAAAATATTAATGAATGAAAGGCACTATAAAATCACTCCTATATCTAATTCTATCGCTACCTCTATATCAAAATCCCACATCAAAATCTCACTAATTATTTAATTATCCCGTTTATATACTCTATTGACTCCTCTTACTCCACTTGACTCCCCTCGATCCATTTATCTTAGTCTAGACGTAATTAATCACTAACACTCTCCTCCCACTGATTATAATCGCCTAACTTTCTCCTCCTTACTCAATTACTGCTAGCTCCCCATGACCTGTCCACAGTCTGGGTCAAAGCTCCAATAAATCAATCCGAGTGACCAATGCAGTAGAATGCTACATTTAAACTAAATTTACAGAATAACATGAATAATCTAAAGTAAAACAATAAAAGAAAAATAATATATCTACGCTACATTTCCCCCTGCATAAGTATGACTCAGTTCAAAACATTGATAATTAAGATTATCAAAAATAATGAAAAAAGAAAAAAACTATTTCTACTGCAAGTTCAACTAATCAAAGAAACAAAAATGCTTAAAGAATATCAAATTTTGAAATTTTCAAACTTGATAAAAATAAATGTAAAATGAAAATAAAGGCTAAACTAATGAAACGAACGTACCTTTTTATCGTACAACGCAAAAGATTATAAAATGCAAATATATGAAAAGTATTATGTACAACAAAAACAAACTGAACATAAAAAAAAAAAAAAAATTATTAAAGCAATTACTGAACGCAAAGAAATTAAAAACATTTCAAATTAAAATGTCACAGTTCATTATTTTCTTTTCAAGACACAAGACACACCGTCATTTAACAGTTAATAATGAGCTCCCATTTCACTCGCAAAATCAGTCAAAAGTTCATCCACATCGCGAAGGTCAATATTTTCACTATAGGTGAAAGTCACGTCTCTTTGAATTTCGCTTCTCCCCCCAGGATATTCAACAGTTCTTCTTACGTATTGAATAGTAATGGATTTTGTTAAAAGTTCTCGGCCAATATTTTGGTTCTTATCATCTTGATTGGAATCTTCGGCGCAAGGTTCCGCAGGCGTGGCACTATCTGTTGAAGATAAAAGTTCTTCAAAAACTTCTTTCGCATGGGAATTGGAGTCTTTACTTTCAATCTTGCCATTGTCATTTTCAACAGAATTGATAGGGATGTCTTCTTCATCTGAAGAAATGTCTTCATACAGGTCGCTTTTCACTGTTAAATTATCCAATGTTTTACTCGAATCTAAATTATCATCTTCTCCAAAATCTCCTAAAACTTCATACAAGGTATGCTGGGAACAATAATGTCTTTTTAAATTAAATAGTCTAGAAAAACTTTGTTCACAAATGTCACATGTAAAAAATGTCTTCTTTGAATTGTGATGTTCTCTTTGGTGTCGCAGTAAATTTCTTTTATATTTATAAGTAATATCGCAGTCGAAACATTTATGTATATCCATCGAGAGTAAATTTAGAAGTGTTTATTTCCTAAACCTTGTTGGTGTCTTTATAATTCTCCCCAGTCTTGTTTTCTTTTCCATCTGGGTTGGAGTTGACAAATGTCCATTATTCTCATCCCTGCTCCTCTCTAACGGTACATTTTGATTTTCATCTGAATCTGGCAAGGTGTTTCCGCTTTCAGAATTTTCAAGATTGCTTGGATGATCTTCAATGTTCTCCTCTGGGACCTCATCATTAGGACATAAATTAGGTACAATGACTTCAGAATCCCTGTCTGAACACTGCTGAATTATTCGCTGAAGTTTATGATAGATCGTTTTGTTTACTTGAATTGGTTTAAGATTGTCCGCATGAATCACAATAGGTTTTGACACTGTAGAATGTTGAATCTGATATAACACATCACTAAGTTTTTTAATCACTATCCAAGGTCCACTCCAATTTCTTGCAAGTTTAAGTTTAGTTCCTAGTATCTGTTGTGGTTGGAAACGGCACACAGTATCATTAACACTATATTTTATTTTTTTCACATTTTTATTGTAGTATCTTTTCTGATTTTGGCTATTTTTCTTTGTTTCCTCTCTGGCAATTTCATGGCAATTTTCTAGTTTCTGTTTTAACTCTCGTACATATTCATGATGGTTGTATAAATCACTGATAGCACTATTACTCGGATCTGAGAATAAATCAACCGGCATCACCATTTCTGTTCCAAATATCATTCGATATGGACTCACTCCTGTTGTTTCATGTACAGTACTATTGTAAGCCATTGAAATTCCGTCAATAAATTTGTCCCAGTCTGACTGATGTAAGGAAATATATTTTGACAACATATCCTTAATAGTACGATTTAACCTCTCCACCATTCCATCTGATCTTGGGTGAAAGGGGGTTGTGCGGGTTTTGTGAATACCCAGTAATGTACACAAATTCTGAAAAAGTTGACTTTCAAATTGTCGACCCTGATCTGTATGTAATGCATGAGGACATCCATAGCGTTTAATCCATCCTTTGAATATAACACTGGCAACAGTCTCAGCTTCCATATTTGGAATAGGAAATATTTCAACAAACTTTGTAAAATAATCTGCTACAACAAGAATGTACACATTTCCACTAGCTGTTTTTGGAAATGGTCCAGCTATATCCGCTGCAATTCTTTCAAAACGTCCTCCCGCTATGAAAGATTCCATTTCACTACGTTTTTGCCTGTAAGGGTTCTTTCTTTCTTCACACACATGACATGATTTCACATAATCTGTCACATATTCTCTAATATTTGGCCAATAATAAGAACTCTGATTTACTTTTCTAATAGTCCTCTGAATTCCAAGATGTCCAGATACTGGAGAATCATGAAGGTACCACATCACTACATCTCGCATTATTTTAGGTGTACAAATTCTTAACTTTATATTTTCCTTTTCTGTCCATTTGATGCACAACACTCGTTGATAAATTTCCAGTATTTCCCATCTATTGTACCAAAATTTACATTCTGAGTCGAGATCTGATATTACATTACTGGAAGGTTTATTCTCTGTCCCATACTCCTCAAACAATTCAAGAATTGGTCTTATTCCTGAGTCTTGCTCCTGTTTTCACGAATTTCCCCATACGACAGTTGTATATGTGGTATTTTCCTTTGTTTAGCACGTCTTGGTCGATTTCTTCTTTTTGAAATTCTTTCAGAATCCACATCGTCATTATTTTCATCACTAGTCACATTGAATAAATGATAAATGTCACATATGACTTCTTTTGTAATATTTTCACTGATAGTTCCACGCAGATCATTCACATGTGTCACTAAATCACCATTATATTCACCATGATCTGTTTGTTTACACTGCTTACACATAGTTTGCTAACTATTGTTTTCTGGATAAGGCATCAGCATTTGAATGTTGTGTCCCTTGACGATGTACAATTGTTAATACAAAAGGTCCAAGTTGTTGTAACCAACGACAAATTTGTCCATCTGGTTCCTTAAATTCATGAAGCCACGTAAACGAACCATGATCCGTTCTTAGTACAAATTCTTTTCCCAACAGATAATGTTTGTAATATTTTAAAAAATAAATTACAACAAGCATCTCTTTCCTCGTCACACAAAAGTTCTTCTCTGCTGAACTTAGAGTTCGACTTCCATAAGCAATAACTCTTTCTCTTCCATCCTGAATTTGAGATAGAACACATCCTATAGCTTCATTACTTGCATCTGTGTCCAGTATAAAAGATCCACCATTTACGTCTGGGTATCCTAATATAGGTGCTTCTTGTAGTTTTTGCTTTAGCTCACAGAAGGCTTCGTCACATTCAGTTGTCCAATTCCATTTACTATTTTTACTTGTGAGAAAATGTAAACATTTTGCAATCTTGGCAAAATCCTTAATATACTTTCGGTAATACGAAACCAATCCAAGGAAACTTC